AAAGACCTCTCCCCCGAAAAATGAGCAAAATGACATACTTTGTAACAAAAAAAATTCTTCAGAGCGATCTAAAGTTATGCCATAGACTTGTAAGAGTTACGTAAATGAAAGATGCATGACGAAATTTAAACTCCCAGGACACTTCCGGTTTTCACAGTTTTTCAAAATAAAAAATGTTAAACAAAAAAAGTTAAATAAAACATCTCTTTTTATAAAATAAACTCGACAACGGTTCATACAATACACGGTTCATATAAACGGTCTGTGGCAGGATCTCCTGGAGCAGGTGGAGAAAGCTTTAATGTCAGCTTTCAAAGAAGCTGGGCCTCTCAATCGAAGTTACCTCTCGTTGACATTTGGTTGGTTTGACATTTATTATATTTACAATATTAGATGTCTATGTTTAAGTTGAATGGTTGATTAGGGAAGATTAACATGTTTGTAAATAAATTGCAGTCTATAGCAGATTTTTTTCTTCTGTAGGAACATAATGATCACCCCTTAAGCTAGCACCTATTGCAAAATTTCCAGTCTTATGCTTAACAAGATTTTGACAGATTGTATGGTTGATATCTAATTGCGAGCCTGATTTATTCAAATTACTACAAAAAGTATATATATTTAGTAAATATCCAATATCAAAAGTCCAAAAGTCAACAAAATTTAACCCTGGCTCTATCATATTTTTCATATGTATGTCCTAAACAGGTGTAATTTTACATGAAATGTTTGGCCTATATAAGGAAAAAAGGCCTCCCAAAAAACCTTTCAAATCAAATTAAAGTTTTTTTTCCTATTCACATCGCCTTAAAGCTTTTGTGCAGCTGTGATACAGCCTCTTTTGGTTTAAATTAAATAAGTATTATCTCGGAGCTTCAAATATTTGGTCTTCTAGGCATATTATAGTTGCTTGTTGTTTGTTAAAAAAAAAAAGAAAAGTGCTTTGACCGAGGGACTTTTGATCTTTCTCATCTGTGTAGGCTATTTCTGTGATTTGTGGTGATTCATGATTTTTGAACATTTATATAATTAGTGGAAATAATCAGTTATAATTAGGTTATATTCCTTAAACGTTTGCATAGTCACCCAGACACAGCGCCCTGTGTGTGCGGATGCGCGGAGAGCAGGTCGAGCGTCGTGTTTTGATACCGGCAGGACGCTGGCAAAGAGGAGGAGTCGCCGTCTCCTGTTGGATTTGAGTTTAATCTGGATTAAAGTTTGGTCCAGTCTGCGGCCACGACTCTAATAATCACATTATTCTATGTAGGGCTGACGCGTCGTTAGGGCACAGGCTGGACTAATGCCCTATGTCGAGGCGATCATGATATTTCGATAAATGCGAGGGAAGAAAATTTGAAGGATCCAGAGATAAAGCATGAGACTTTTGGTCGATGACAGTTTGGCGAGAGCCGAGGGATGAGCGCTAAACGGGATGGAAGAGGAAGAAACAATGCGATGCAGCATCCGGACACATGACTGCAGGATAAGTGCAGTGCAGCACCGGGAGAAGTGCGTGCACCCTGATCTGTCAGAGTACTGCGTCAAAATGCATCTTTCAGGTGAGTGAAATAATTGAGAGCATATACCTACTGGATAATAAATAGTAAATAACCATATTAAATTATTATTGTCTATTCAACTGTGAAGTCTCGGTGGATTGTGGATGCGAGCAAACTTTTAAGAAATATGTTGTCTAGGTTACACTTTATTGGCTTCTGACCTCAGGCATACGCTGCACATCAGTATGCGAAGAAACACTTGTAGGCTATAGTCCCAGAATGAAAAGCACTGTACTTGAAGCGTATGCTTAGTGATAAATTTTATATCTGGTTGTACCCTCATGCAGCAGATGGTAAAAGATTTTTAGTTTAATCCTAATCCTTTTCATGCATTATTTTGACAAATAGGTGTTTTGGAAACACAAATTGTGGTTCTTGGACAGTGATTGAAAAATGTAAATTTTAATATCACAGGATTATTTCACAGCTGACCTAGGCAATGATGACAAGGATTTTATCTTTTTTATTGTAGGTGATGTGGAAACCTGCTGTGCTCCAGTTGTGTTATGGTTCTCTTTCTGCCCCTGCTCCCCTGGACTGACTGTATAACACAAACATGGAGGAGAGCAAGCTGATTGTGAAGAAGGGCCAGTAGTGTCGTTTTCAAAAGACAAACCACAGACAGGCCCGGACTTTTCTGTGGGGATGGATCTCACACTAAACCAGGGCCGCATTTCTCAGGCTCCTAGCTTGTCTCACTCTCCTTCCTCTCCAGGCTCTCTTGCAGATATGTGTTCAGCCTATGAGCCTCTAACCACCAACCTTGTCAAATCCTCATCTTCAGATCTTGAAGCAAAGGAAGACAGCCCAGTGAAAGGCAAACCACTGCTGTCTCTAGTTAAGTCACTGAGCACAGAAATTTCCCGTAGGGTTGAGCATGATGAGAATCTATCAAAGTCTGACTCAAAGCTTCATTTGTACCCACGTAGACAACTCATTCAGCCGAAAATCCCAGAAGCCCGACCTGAAGAAGTAGATTTACTGAGTGAAAATGACCCTTTGTCTAAGGGCAGTTTGTCCCCTATAGAATCTAAGGGCAGCTCTTTGATTGCAGAGTTTGAGGACACACGGCGTAAATTTTCTGAAGCTATGCAAGATCCTCTCTCTATGTTTAGTAAGATTATTGGTGATGAAAGCCCCAAACAAGGGAGGTCCATGAGTACAGGAGACTCCACAGTTTGCTATGTACCGGACCTGAAGTGTCGCAAAAGGACGGACAGTGAGCACAGAGGCGTTTTTGATACTCATATTGGGAAATTTAACAAAAGATCTTTTGTTAAATCAACTATTACAACAGAACATCAACATTTCAGTGCTTTGGACCAAAATGAAACTTGTTCACCTAAAGTTATCGTACAGGATTTGGAGGATCATACCGGAACTAGAGAAACAAATTACAGAAGTCGAAGCTATTATCAAAACATGCTCCCTGGTCCCTCATTGCCTCTCTACTGGCTTCTACCTGTTGGATTTATGGCCTATGGCTTCTTAATCCTCCCCCTGCCCCCGTATGTGACAGGCCTGTCTGTGGGGGTGGCTTGTGGATTCCTTTTGGGGCTAATTGTTGTATATATGTTTGCACCAAGACGAACTGCCATCAGAAGAAACAGAAAGCGGAATATTACTCAAGTGTATAAGAAACGATCAGAGGAAGGCATGCTGGAGGTAAACAAGGTTAAATACAAGAGTAAAGAAAGACATTTTAATAAGATTTGTTATTTATAATTCACTTGTTCAGCCATTGTTGCACAGCCAAATCAAAAAACGTCTCTGCCTCTCTTATTTGCCTACAGGGAAATGCCTTTTTGTGTAGTGTACACAACCTTTAACCAGCTACCTCCAATTAAGAAAGTAGCCATATCTAATATTCTACACAATACTGACTATTTCAGAGTCCATAGTGCTAAATGAGATAGATGTGCATGTCTCATGTTCCCCTCCTGCTGAGCTTTGCTGCCACAGCGTGCATCACTTGTGGTGCATTTAATTAGCTTGAGTATGGTATTTCGTCAACATATTGTGTCAAGTGAAAGAGAGGCCACAATGCATGCAATTTGTTGACCACTAAAAGTGATTTTGCATATTACATAACAAGTTTAAAATCAAGTTTAAAGTCATTTGGTGTCAGCTTTGGTTTTCAGTGTTGCTATTCATTCTCCTGCAGGGCTGGATGAATGAGATGTACAATTATGACGCTGAGACTTTTCACCCTTCTGCCACACACTCTGTCTATGTGTCACTGGAGGGCAGTCGCCTACAGCTCTCTCTCCCGAATACCAACATCCGCCGCTGGGCATCACTCAACGAAACCCCCCCAGAGCCTCCTGCCTTTGTGCACTCACGAGTCTACCAGCTCACAGACTGCAAGGTCAGTGTGAATAGACCCCTTCAAAGGTCCTGATCTAGCATGTCCTTTCATAAAAGGTTACAAAAAGACAAGGTGGCTGTGAAAAGTCAAAGCTTACCTGCTTGTCTCCATGGGGATTGCTTTGCCTGTAATGTTACACAGTATGGCATGAAAAGTGTCTGTCATACGTTTGTTCAGTTACAGTTGTTTATTGCTCAAAATACACTGAAAAATACCTCTGCACAGATTTGTCACTTGGCTGGGTAGCAGAACTAGCCTGTCACTGTGGAGATAAGACAAATTTAATGTCATAGTGTGGAACATTCCAGGCAAAGCAGTCGCATCTCAATACAGACTCTCCATCGGAAATGCACCTTTAATATTATCGCAATAATCTTATAGGTAATGTTCTTTTGTTCTGAACTATTGCATCTTGCACTTACGGAGATGGCTCACTATGTCCAGTAACTATTGTGTCCTTAGACAAAATACCTACCTCATCTTGTCTTTGTTGTTTAAGGTACTAGTGTTTGAATGGCATGAATATTGTCTACCTTATGTCTGTGTCTACAGACATAGTTTATTTGATGGGTTTCTGTTTTCTGTAGGTATCCCTGTTGCCTTCTGGTTTGGCACGAAAAAGAATATGGAACAAGAAGTACCCCATCTGCATTGTTATTGGTCCTGGGGTAGGTGATGGGCAGGAGGAGGGCAAAGACAGGCCAGAGAAACTAGTCACCCTTTACCTGTTCGGCCGCACAGGGAGGGACAAGGAGGAGTGGTTTCAGCATTTTCTTTCTGCAGCCAAGCCCGAGGCCACGAGCAGTGACCAGGATGAGGAGAGCTCAAGTAAGAGGAAGAAAACATGTGGTAAAACATTTGTCTTTTACTTGTCCATTTAAAAAGATATTTTTGTATCAGACACAGTGTGTGTTGGAGAAACTGTTCAAGATAGTTTTGAGGAGCTGGTGGACTTGACAGGAGCTATGAAAACAAGGACTTTGGTGGACTACAGCACCTATATGGCTCAGTTGATCAGCTCAGAGAGTTATGAAGCTATTCCCAGTCCAATGAACAAGGAAAGCCCCATTATATACAGCAGTACTGAGGTATTGAAGATAACAGTTTGTTTAAATATTATGCTGAACTCGTTGTGCTGTAGAAATGACAGTGAATTAAGTTTTCATTACCTGGTGGCAATGACGCGGCTCACAAACAGATCATTAAGGTCTCTTAATTTTCTCATTTCAGATTCCTAATAAAGACAACACATGTGGTGTTGAGTCTGGAGCAGAGATGGGTGCAGATTTGGGGACACTTGGGTGCTCTTCAGATGGACATCCTCACTGGGTGAACTCACTAGTTGGTCGAATTTTCTGGGACTTTCTCAGAGAAAAGTACTGGACTGACCAGGTTGCACACAAGATTCAGAAGAAACTCAGCAAAATCAAGGTATGAGAGTTAATCATTTGTTAAGTATTTATCTTGTATCTTAAATCTGACAAATAAAGACAAATATTGTTCCTTAGCATTAATGTTTTTATTATTCAGAATGGAGATTTTTTTTATAGTTAAAAGTGTTAATCAAATTTTTTATTGGCTTGTGTGCATGGTAATCTCTTCTGAAACCTGTGTCAGTGATGGACATGCTAATAAAGTGAATGGGCTACTCTCATCTTGTCCTTTCTTATAGTATCCCTGAAATCATAATCATGTTGAAATAAAATGTATCTTCTAAATAGAGATGCGTATAGCATATATATGTATTTCAAATCAATTCACCGTAAATTCTTGGTTTGTATTTTTCCCACAGTTGCCCTACTTCATGAATGAACTGAAACTAGCTGATCTTGACATGGGTACTTGTTTACCTCAAGTAATCAGCACATCCAAACCTTCACTGGATCGCAGAGGTACAGGCCTTCTTCAAAACATATACAGTGCATATAAAAAAAACTATAGTGGTGGAGTACTGAGGATATACTTTTATTTAGTGTCTTTATAATACAGTAAAAATGAATTATAATTTATTATGATTGTGTGTATGTGTAAATAGGCTGCTGTAAATCAAAACTCTTCAGTCAACCTGGGAGACTCAATCTGGACAATTTATTTCACTGTCGTGTTTACCTTGTAAACACTTCCATTGTCCAGTTAGTAATCCACTTAGCATTAGCCTAAGCCTAACCAACAATGACAAGCTTAAGATAACTTGTGTTTGTCTACTGTCTCCTGTCCAGATCAATGTCTCCATTTAAAAAGTATCACTTACGTGTTTCCTCCCTTGTGTTTGACTTGATTTGTAGGTTTATGGCTAGAAATGGAGGTCATATATACAGGCTGCCTTCATATGACCCTAGAGACTAAGATGAACCTGTGCAAGTTAGGAAAAGATGATGAAGTCCAAAGTGAAAGTCTTCAAGAATCTCTTCAGTTTGGGTGATCATTTAGATGCCCATTTGATTTAAACATGTTATTCAATAAAATATATAATTGTTGATACATACATTCTTTTTCTAGCTCTAAGCCACGGCTGTCCATACTAGCTGACAGTGATGAAGAGTCCTCTAGCGCTGGGTCATCTGATGAAGAGGATGTGTTTGAGCCTCTAGGGCCTCCAGGAGAGAAGAGCACTGTTGTAGTGGCTGATGGGTTAGTCATCTCTCCTACATACTATTGAATTAACATTGCCAGTACCAGAATCATCTGTATTTGGATGAAAACTGCCCTATTGTTCGTAGTATATATTATACAAAGTGGTGGAAATGTATTGAACTCTCCATAGTTTGCAATATATTTTCTTACTTTTAAACCTAGTTTTTCTTTTATAATTAGTGGGAACAGCACAGGCAGGAAGATTCTCCGATTTGTGGATAAGATTGCAAAGTCCAAGTACTTCCAGAAGGCTACTGAAAATGAGTACATCAAAAAGAAGATCGCAGAAGTGTCCAACATGCCTCTGATGCTCAGTGTGGAAGTCCAGGAGTTGTCAGGGACTCTGGCTATCAACATTCCTCCACCCCCTACTGACCGAATATGGTATTACAATTGTAAAAATTTAATAATATACACCAGTGTTTCTCAAAATGTGGTCCATGTACCATTGGCTTCTGGTGGTCCTTTGTAGTTCTACAGTATGTTTAATTGTAGCTATGTCCTTGTACTAGACTGACATTTAAGATGACATTTGCCATGATTTAGCCCTAGTTCAGACCTGGTATAGTCCCAATTTTTATCCACTTTAGATCTAGTGGTTCATAGAGAGTGAGATATCTTATATCTGGGTAGGATTTTGTATCAAAAGTTAAAGAACCACCATCATACCCATACAAGTCCTTGTTTTGATTCTCAAGGTACAGTTTCCGAGTGCCCCCGCGGTTAGATCTTCATGTCAGGCCGATGCTTGGGGAGAGGGAGGTCACATTCACTCATGTCACCGAGTGGATAGAAAAGAAACTACAATGCGAGTTTCAGGTACTTTTTTACTTTCTCTATAATATATACAGACTTGATTTTGACATCTCAAATATTGTTTTTGTGTTGTTTAAAACAGAAAGTGTTTGTAATGCCCAATATGGATGATTTGTACCTGCCACTGATGAGTTCTGGCCTGGAAAGTACACCAGTGTCCCAGCATTCTTCTGTCCCTTCATCTCAACAATCCTCTATAGAATCTCAGGAATATTTGTCCGAATAGCCCCCGCCAAGATGAAAAATGTGGTAAAGTTTACTATGCATGCGTGTTTTGAGCATCTTTGAAATTAAATACTGTATTAAGGGTAATGATCTTACACTGCCCCTGTTGTTAAAAGCAGTGAAATCAGCTATGGTGTATGATGCCAGTGGAAGCTGTTTTTTTACCCAAAATATTATGATATTTTTAGGCCAAAATGGACAATTTTGCATGACAAATCAATGCTTAAAAGCACCGACTGTGTACTGTTTCTATTTCCCAATCAACAAATTGTTATATTTTTGCATGTTATTGGAGAAATAAATGAAACAGCCTAATGTTCTTTTCTTTTAATGAAATAATGTCATAAATCACTTAACAGTGTTGACAAATCACTTTGTGCTTTAGATCAAAAAGCTCTTAAGCTTCTTGTTGAGGCTCTGTGACAGTTTTCAATGCATCTTTCTTCAAAGGCCCCTGCAGGCAATTACCAAAGGTTCTAATTAATGATAATATTGATAAAAAAGATGTTAGCAGTTCAGAGTAGTCCATGCTTACCATAAAAGCTCTTTTCTCCTGTGCAGTCTGGAAACGTCCATGACCAAACTTAGAAGTGGTATCAATGAACTTGAGCTCAATCTCTTCTTTGGATTTGCGAGATGTGTGCACAAGCAAAGACTACAAAAGGAACATGGGGTGAGGCTTTTTTTTTATGGGAATTTACATTAGAGTTATTGGAGATGGTACCTTTCTCAATGTGAGAATACGCTTCTTGGCTCCAACCACACATCCTTTCACCATGACAAAATCATTATTCACTTCACCATAGTGAGGGAAGCCCCCCTAAACATGGACGCATTATAAAGTAATGTGTGGAGAATGTTATTAAATTCAATGGAAAAGACCAAATACCACGGGAGTGATAGTTTTCTGGCTGGTGTCATAGTTAGTGGAGGCATTGTTCCTTATGACTTTTCCATCTTGCATGTGGATACCTTTACCAATGCGATAAATCTGGACAACAGAGATTAGGCATGTGAAGACATCTATTTATTAACAAATAAACCCTATAGTCCAATGTATATCTTAAGTGTAATGTAATATCTCATGTTAATATATATATATATATAAAAAAAACATTTATGTTGTTGTTACTGTTATTTGATGAGGACATCTTACTTTCTTGTTGAGCTCAGTGCGGTGATGATAACCTTTCTGACCAGCACGAGCAATAGTGAATCCAACCCGAGAGGGATGCCAAGCTCCAATACAAGCCACCTTCCTCAAACCCTTATGAGTTTTTCTGGGAAGCTTTTTTGTGCGCCATCGGCTTGTTACCCCTGAGAATATAAACACAATAATTGAAGCTTAAGCAATACTGAAAGCAACAATTTGTTTAACTACATATTATTCTATAACCTTTAAAGCCATGTCCCTTGGTGACACCAATGACGTCAATCATTTCATCCTGGCTAAAGACAGCAGAAACTGGGACAGCCTGCTCCAGTCGCTCCTTGGCCCAGTCCACTTTATCTGAGATGGTTCCTCCATTAAGCTGCACCTCCATAATGTGGGCCTTCTTCTGCTTAATGGGTAGCAAGCGCATCTGTCAAAAGGAAAGTTACAAGAGTAAGAGTTTAATTTGATAACTCATCACTGAGATGCATGAAAACTACTGTTTTGTGAGAATTAGTAGCATAATAATACTGTTATTAATATTGAATACTGTGTGATCTTGAAACTTGACCAGTTCTTTTGTTTGCTACCCATACTTATCTGGGCTCTGCCTGTGAGAGCACTAACTGAACTTCTGCCTGAAGGATTATTTTTAAACTGCCATTTGAAACTGCACCCCTCAATGTCTGCTTCTCATCATTTAGCTGACAGCACTGAGAATGTGAAGACTTTATTTCCCCTCCATTTCATATCAATTAGATGAAGGTCTTGGGCATCTGCCCTTTCAAATAGTCATCATCCAAACAAATAAAAACTATTCAAAGCCAGGAAAGTTAAAGCAGGCAGTGTATTCTGTTACAGTGTGTAACAAGCTACCTGGGAGTGCACTAACACTCTTATCACTGAACAGTATCTCTTCAGTGCTGCAAAATCCTTGTCCAGTTGTTTCTTCCCTGTCTCATCCTGCCACTTCTTACTGTATTTTGTGAAGGCCTTTTTCTTGCTCTTGTACCTAAAACACAAGAACAATGTAAATAGAATAGACAAAACACACATGTCTCTCTTTACAGACACACACACCAGTTTCTGTAAAATCTGCGCTTGCATTCATCACTGAGATGTTCTGCAAAGATGGTCTTGAGTGCACGCAGGCCGCGCACGGTGCTCACATATCCTACCACTCCCACCACAATGACTGGAGGAGTATCAATTATGGTTACTGCCTCTACCTCCTCACGCTTGGATTGCTCTGTACAGATAGGGACAAATAATGTATTATATGTGATAACAATCAATCTTATTTAAAAACTAAACTACACAAGCATTTTGAACATACTGAGGCCAGTGCGGTGCACTTCCCTGAGGGTGTGGGTCATGCCAGCTTTATAACCCAGAAAAGCTGTTAGGTGGACAGGCTTGCTTGGATCATCTTTGGGCCAGGAACGCACCCTGCCCCTGTGCTTCTTGCTACGCTTGTGGGGCAGAAAACCCATATGTCCATGACGAGGGGCTGAGAATTTACGATGAGACTGGAGAAGACATTAGCATGAGATTATAAAAGAAGAACACATAGAAGCTACATGACATGATTTTTATCTTTTCACTTTTATATTAGAAAGGTACAAATTTGCACAAGAAAATACATATAATACAACATTAGCAGTTATAATTATTTACAAATTGTAAAATTTAACATGCTCCTTGCAGGCACAGAGAGAACACTGTGACAAACAAAGCAACACATGAAAGCAACAATAACCCAAGAAGAAGCACTGACCATGACTGTGCACTGTGGAGGCAGAAACAGAAAGAGAGAAGGGCTGGCGTTAATGGTCATACATGAGATGGCCCACAGAGTAAAGATTCTAATTTAGTGTTTGGCCCAGCTGAGGAGCCGTATTCACTTTCAAATAGGGTGATCTGTGCCAAGTAGTCAAGAGAAGATGGGAAGAGGTGCACTGACTTTCCAAGAAGACAAAATACTATGTGAGCAAGCACGTATTACTGCAGAATTACAAAGATATTACAATATTTCACTATTAGCAGACCCTGCAGGACTTTAGATCTCTGTTATAAATGTCTAATGCAAACAATGGGCATTCTTCCATAATAACTTAGATGACAACTTCCAAGAGCAATGCAAAATTCCATTTAACACAAGTAATACAGAAATACTTTACTGTGAGGGACTAATTTGTGTAAATGTGAAAGCATTTATTTCAGTCAGATGATCTAAAAGTTTTGCTTCTGATATAGGCATAGCCTTTATTATTACAACATAATAGAAACAACGTGTTTTTCTTTAATTACCAACCAGTCATAAGGCTTTAATTTATATCACTGGCACCATCTAGTGTATTTCTATGGAAGGACACATTCACATTGCGCATTCTCTAATCTTAAGTTAAAATTCCAACGTTTTCCTTTTTCATTGCAAACTTAGATTAATGTATTGTAAAATGTTTGTGTATTTAAAAGTGTTAATGTGAAAAATAGTGAACGAGACAAACATTTTCATTTAGCAAATAAAATGTTGACCTCTACAACGCCATCATTGTCGGTTCTTCTGCGCATGCGTGGATCTAGAGGAGAGCTGTTTGAGGTCGTGCTGTTGGATTACTTTTTTTGGTACAAAACGTGAAAATGCCTTCGGATTTTGACAAGGGGGCATATCCAGAGCCTCCTCGGCAGACTCCTGCACCTGACAAACAGACTGCACTTCCAAACCCAGCTATAATCTTGTCAAAGCTCTTCTATTATTCCGTGGATGTGCCTGTCACGACATTGAGAGGTAATGCTAAAATGCTAAGTCAAGCTAAGTGAAGCTATACAACACAACCTTTTTCAAACTTTATGCATAATTGTTTAAGGATATATTATTATACATGAGCAGATGTTAGATAAAAATAGACACTATGTGAGATTTTGGTTTTATATATATTTATATTGCATTACTTATTTGTGTCCTCACATACCAGGTGGACATGTTCAAATCAAATATTTGCGTTCTTTATAGTATAATAATTGTAATGTTGTCTTACTCTCCAAAACAAAACATAGGACATGATGGCCAAGTTGTTACGGTTGTTATGCTACTATTCCATTAAAAGCAGAATAAACCTCACATGGGCCTGTGCCAGTTTCATCCTGATGCACAGTTGGTTTAAACATAAAAGGTCTGTCTGTGATCTGAATCCTCTCTACCTGAAGTGAAGCACTTGTAGCTAATCATAATTGCATCTTGTGCAGCCTCTTCAGATCAGTGAGTGGAATCTGGAGGTTCTGAAATTTCACATGAAACATGATCTCTCCATATAGTGAGAATGGGAAAAACATAATGCATTGGCAACCCTTACAAGTACTTTAAAACATAAACAGAGACATGCTGTACCTTTTTAACAATGTGTATGATTAAATTGTGTGTATAATTTGTCATAGACGCAGTATTCACGTTATGACTTGTGAGCGTGACATTTTTTGTTAATTGTGTCTGAAGGGGTCGTAGACGGTATAAGGTCCAACAACAAGTCTGTGTACTACCACCAGAAGTTCCGGCGAGTCCCCGACCTGACTGATTGCGAGGAGGGTGATTACCTGTGCTACTATGAGGCAGAGATGCAGTGGAGGAGAGACTAGTAAGTGAAGCAGGTCATTCATGCCTTAGGGCATTTTAAATGATAAATTGTTAAATGTTTACCTTCATGGCACTCAAAACACTTTATATGAAGGAACCACTCGCCCATTTGCGCACACATTCATACACCAGTGTATGCATACATTAGGCACGAGGCATGCTTAGCGTCTTTCCCAAAGGCACAACGTCAGTATTCGTTTGTGGGCCTGGGGATTTTACCATTTTAAGAAACTGAGTGATATACAGTGTATACAGGCTATTACACAATTATATTCAGTGAATTTCTCCACTGAAGTCAATAACGTTTGTTTTGAATTAAACTTAATATCTAATGTATTTGCATCTTTTTTTTTTTTTTAAGTAAAGTGGACCAGGAAATACTAAAGATTGTCCAGGAGCGAATGAGAGCCTGCTACCAGAGAGAAGGAGCTAGTTATGAGCAGAACTGTGCCAAGGAAATCCGGCAGTTTAATGAAGTGTCCAAAGATTTCCAGTCACGCTGTGAGTATTATCATAAAAGTTCGCTCCAGAGAATTTAAAGTTGTTCCTGATCTAGCATACATAGTTTGTTATTCTGCATATTAATGAAATGCCTTTTTTTTTGTTTATAGATGGAGACCTTGGGGCTTATGCCAATGCACGAAAATGTTTAATGAAGCAAAAACAAAGAATGATGGAAGCTCCAGCTGAGAGTGCTTAAAAAACTGTGGGTGTTCTGTGTAATTGTAAAATATATTCTTTTGAACAAGATTCGCGTCATCCTTCTCATTGGCTGCACTGCTGCAGAACCAAGTTTCAGGAAGTATATTAGAGGTGGTGCTGATATGTTGCACTCTGCACCATTTGACTGCAAGAGGTTAGCAGTTATGAACTAGTTAGGCATTTGTAACCTGTATGGCAGTGGGATGAGAGCATAGACTGATTCAAAGATCCTATTCACTAAGCAACACTGAAGACTTAGATTATACCATACATTGCAAGCTAGGGGGGAAATATCAGCAAAGGTAGCTCAGTGATTAATTTATAGGCCCATCATGCCACAAAGTAATCAGTGAGAAACGCACTTTTTCCAGTCATTATAATACTGATAAGTATACTGTGGTTAATTCTACTCTTAATTTCAGCCAATGCACCATTCTTCAGACAATTTTCAGCCCCAGTGAGAAAATATAAAGTCATCAAGTTTCAGAAATGTTTTATTTTAACAATTCTGCTGTATAAAAGTCTTAGGAGGTTGCAGCTACAGCTGCCTGTCCCCTCTGCACATTCACCCTGGTGTGATTCTTGGCCAGATGATCAGTGAATTCCTGTATTAAGCAAAGAGTTAAAAGGTTAGTACCATCTCAATTTCTTCAACAAGCAAGCAACAACTCTACCAACCTGGTATGGAGACTTTGTGAAGACAGTTTCCTTCCAGAGGTCAGGGGTCAGGTAGCTGTAAGTCTTTGAGATGGCATCAAAGGTGGCCTTGGCTGAAATGGCAGGAATATATTAGGTTACACATTTAGTAATTTACAGCCAATCAAAAATGTTGAGCACCGAGAGGGGGAACAGAGCAGACTATTAAACAAGTCTTTCTGCCGTGCATTTCAATGCTCGTGACTTTCTCTCCCGATAACGACAACTACACCACTGCAGGTGAAGCTGAGCAGAGCAAGGAGAAAAAAGTTCAAAATGAAGCCTCACCAAAATTGCCAAGTGTGGCCGTGCAGCCTCTGGCAGAGGTGTAGCAGTCATCAATGCCAGCCATCATGAGCAGCTTCTTGGGCACAGGGGCAGATACAATGCCAGTACCACGAGGAGCAGGGATCAGACGCACCAGGACAGAGCCACAACGTCCAGTCACCTTGCAGGGGACAGTATGAGGTTTGCCGATCTTGTTACCCCAGTAGCCTCTCCTGACCGGAACAATGGACAGCTTGGCCAAAATGATGGCACCACGGATAGCAGTGGCCACCTCTTTGGAGCACTTGACTCCCAGTCCAACATGACCATTGTAATCACCAATGGCAACAAAGGCCTGTAAAAGATAAGTTAACCCATGTTCCTTTTAGTCATTACAATTATCAATTAAATGACTGCTCACCTTAAACCTGGTACGCTGTCCAGCCCTGGTCTGTTTCTGAACAGGCATGATTTTGAGAACCTCATCCTTCAGACCAGAACCCAGGAAAAAGTCAATGATCTCAGACTCCTGTTAAAACAAGGGCAATAGCTTAAGTAGCAATCCTTTTACTACAGCTGAAACATTATGAAATGCCTTTTCACCTTGATGGGAAGAGAATACAGGTAGATCTCCTCCAGAGACTTGATTTTCATGTCTTTCACCAGGCGGCCCAGTTTAGTCACGGGAACCCACTACACACAATAGATGTAACATCACGATCTCGGGGAATGACTTTTACTCTTCATTAAGCCAATCAACTTACTTCTTTGTCTTCGGATTTGCCTCCGCGTGCACCACGGCCTCTACCCCGGCCCCTGCCGCGTCCACGGCCCCGACCCCGGCCGCCAGCGCCAAAACCTCCGCGAAAACCTCCTCTACCACCGGCGTCGTCCGCCATTTGCTGCAAAAAATATCACTTTGTGAGAAATAATGTGGGTAAAGTAAATCATTAGATCAAAAGTCGGTATATATTCTCCAAAACAAGGAGAAAGGAAATGCAAGCATCACTCCAGGAATATCGGATCATAGATTGCCAACTTGACAAATTTACGTCAAGATTATGTAGTAAATACAGATTACAAATTGGGTACTACTGCTTTATATTAAACATCAACACTAAAATAACGGTGTGCGATACCCGATGAAGAAGATTTTTTGGGATTAAAATCAGAAGACTACAAAACACATCTCACTTACGTGATCGATATAACAGGAAGAAGAACGTAGAGTAGTTCCGCCGGGTTTTGTTGACACCAGCTATCGCGAGATTTTGCGAGAACACACGGGCGTCTCATCTCTGCCGATCCATCCAAGTGTTAAAAAAAAAAAGTTAATGTTGAGACCTCAAGAACAACAGGCTTTGCCTTCTTTATTAAAAATTAAATCATCGAAAGTCATGTGCACATACTCTATATATTTAACACTTTCCAAAATATGTAGTCTATACATAAAGAAAGTACACAAAGCAGCAGCACAATATGGCTTAGCAGTTGATGATGTTCCCAGTGGTCTCAGTGCTGCCACTGCTTTCTCCAGGGTCGTCTTCCTCTACCTCTGGCTGCTCGTCCATCACCTCTAGACCCTCACAAATGAGGCCAATCTGCCTCTTCATGTGGGCCATGGTACTCTGCATCCTCTTCATCTTCCTCTGGAGGGCAGTAGCAATAGCTCTGTAGTTCCTCTGCCGGGCCTCATATTCCTGCCTCAGCTGTTTGTAACAATTGTGTTGTGCTTGTGTGCTGTGGGAGAGTATGGTTCCACAGCCCATGTGGCAGGGCTGTCTCCAGTGTTCACAATGGCGAGCATGAGTATCCAGGTCCCTGCGCAAGAGCTGTGCACGGCAGCCTTGATAAGGGCATTGGATCAGCTCATACAAACAGCTCATGCTGTGGCAGTATTGCTCCGACAGTGGAAAAGTCTCAGCACATCCACGGATCTCATTCTTACACTGCACAAGTTCAGACAAATCTTAGGCAAGATAAATTATAAAGAATAATTAGTCATTAAAAAAAAAAAATCTAATCCTACCTTAATCTTCATGCGTCCAATAGATTTACTTAGTTTAAACATGACAAAGATTAAGTTCGGGTTTACGGGCTTTCTGCAGCATGGACAGGTTTCCTGCCTGTAGAGTTTAAAATGATTAGTTCCACACATAAAATATAAAGAAAATGACTGAATACCTTTTGAGCCACTGTAAAATGCATTTCTTGCAGAAGATGTGGTGACATGCAGCTCTCACCGGAGACCGGAGAACCCCTTGGCATATGGTGCACATGAGATCATAGTCTGGTGTGTCCACAAACATATCCACATCATAGCCTCCAGTCTGTGATGACGTGTCTATGTCTGCCTAAATAAATACAATATGAACAGTTTTGTGATAGGCTAGGTAAATAAATGCAATTAAATAAAAGACAAGTTAGTAAGACAAAGATAAACAAGGCTGTTGAATGGTGCTTAGTTCTGTTCCACACACAAAGAGAAATGTTCTGGAAAGTCATATGACACATGACATGACATATATCACGATTCAAAACAAAAACATGAACACACTGTTAATATTTTTAGATTATTCCAAATACAGTTCTTTGAATTCATATAGACATACACATAAAATAAGTCTGTTAATCCATTAGCAATAACCAATATCAGCTATATCACAAAGCTGGTTAGATCTAGGGGCCTATATTACACCAGATACAATAATGCTTTAAACATATGGCTGAAACAAGTATTGTTACATTTACTAATATTAAGGAAAATAAACGATTTAAAAAAAAAAAAAAAAAAAAAAAAAAAAAAAATCTTTTGCTTACCATGATTGTGTTTTCTCCTCGCCGTGTTTCCATTCCTGGTGTGTCTTACTTCATATCAACCCGGACTTGACATGTGCCATACACACCCGTGTTATCTATCGCTCACACACATGAACCTTCCTGACAAACCGTGAAGGAGGGACTGGTCTCTGTCACAATTGGATTCAGTAAATGATATAAATGTAGGAAGATAAAGGCGGTCATTATCGGCTGCGTCCTTTCCCTGTTGTTCCAGCACTAAACCGCGTTCACAGGTACACGAATTGACGAGCTTCTACAGGATCCATTGTCCAGACCAACAAAAACGTTCGATGACCAATATTTAAATAGCTTTCCTGCAAAATAAATGTCAATATCAATCAAATCAAATATATTCAAGCATAACATATTGTATTTCACACCCTAAATAAAAGAAAGTGCATTGGCTATGTTTAAAACCCCACATAAAATATGTTGTTTACGTTGATTGTGGTTGAACTTTGGTGAGTAAAAGTAACCAATGACAACTTTGTCCGCTCCTATGACGTGTAATGTGTGCGACGGCCCGCACATGTGGGATGTGTTGACTGAAGCCAACGTGCGATTGAAAAAGAAATACATATCTTTCTTAAAACGGACATTTGTTTGGTAGTTCTTGATTAATTATGGCAAACGCCAACCTTCAATTCAAAACAAAGTAAGTGTAAAACTCTTTTCTTGCAGCAATATCTTTGCACATAAATAGCTATAAGATGATAACGTGCTAAGAGCTGTTAGCTGTATTAATCCATTAATAATCATTATCTGTTTGCAGCTATTCAGTTTTAAGCAAGATCGAGCCTTTTTACAAAGGTGGAAAGGTTCAGGTAACGAGGCTAAATGCATACATTGAAATATTTGATAATGCAAGCTGGGACTTCCTTATTGTTTGTTTTATTTCAGGTCAGCAAAGATGAGCAGTACATTTTTTGTATTAGTGGCTCACATGTCAATGTGTTAGAAATCTGCACGGGAAAGATTGTCCATAGAATTGAACACGTGAGTTACTACACCACAAATTGCATAGTATGTCTAACTACAAACATTACCAATGCCTGTCTTTAATTTAGGATGACCAAGAAGACATAACATCATTTTCTCTCAGCTGTGATGATGAGGTTGGGAAAAGTTACCATTCTCTTGTTCTTAGTTATAAAAATATTTTAATAATTTACTTGCCTCCCTCTTTCTCTGTCTTAACAGTTACTAGTTACAGCCAGCAGGGCTCTGCTCCTGAAGCAGTGGGACTGGAGGCAAGCACAGTGCACTCGCTCCTGGAAAGCTATTCACACTGCACCAGTTGCCAGTATGACCTTTGATGTGACCTCTACTCTACTAGCGACAGGTCACTTTATGATGATAATTATGTGCTTCTTTGGTCATTAACAGTCTTAATCATTTATCATATATTAAAATGCATATTTTATTTGCAGGGGGGTGTGATGGAACTATTAAACTTTGGGATGTGATAAAGCAATTCTGCACTCACAATCTCAAGGGGTCTGCAGGTGTTGTTCAGTAAGTGCAGTTGTTGCATTGCATTTTTTTATTTCACTGGAGTAAACATCTATAAGGTTGCATACAAGGATACACTATGTTGAACTTCAGTTTTTCCAGTAAAATAGTTAGAAAATTAAGACAAAAAAGAAACAATTTATGTTCTTTCCTTGTAGCCTTGTTCAGTTTCATCCAGATGCCCAGAAGCTACAGCTCTTTTCCTCCTCGTTGGACTGTGGCATCAGGATGTGGGACTTGCGCTCCAGTCAGTGTGTGTGTGTGCTGCAGAGCCACTACAGTGCTGTCACAGGTCTTAGCTTCAGCTGTGATGGACAAACTATGATCAGGTATTGGGAATGCACACCGACCAACATTTCATTTACAATGGATACATTTTGTTCTATTTTGTAATTTTATTTTACACTCATTGCAGTTCAGGAAGAGATAAAATTTGTACAGTGTGGGACTTGAAAACCCAAAAAGTAAAACGCACTGTTCCTGTGTATGAGGTAGGCTTTGTGATTGCTATGTGCCTTCAGAGTCATCTGGTATTGATTTAATGTCATATTTATTTTCTAGGCGGTGGAAGGTGTGATAGTGCTACCTGAAAAATATTTTTCTGAAATTGGTGTGAGAAATGAGGGACTACATTTTATAACTGCAGGAAGCAAAGGTAAAATGCTTGCCTTTATAATACAAAGAGCCAGTATACTTTATTTATTAATACATTTCAATTTATTTTTCATTCTACAACATAGGTATATTAAGAGTATGGGAAGCCAGCACAGCCCGTTGTGTCTTTACCCAGGCTGCCCCCTCTACTCTCAGCTCTTCTGATGATAGTGAAGAAAAGGAGGATGATCCCCGCAGTCTGTCTTATCTGCTTCACCTACCTGCTTCTTCCAGACTTGCTGCAGTTACTGCTGAGCATAACATACTGCTTTACCAACTGCCTGCTCTGACCACACAACAGCAGGTGTCGAGTACTGACCTTGAATTGTGATTAAAAGTCCTCTGCATTGCAACTTAGACAGGACTATAACTCTTATTTTTCAGTTTGTGGGTTACAATGATGAGGTGCTGGATGTGAAATTTCTGGGGAAAGAGGACAGTCACATTGTGGTGGCAACTAACAGCTGCCAGCTCAAAGTATTTGAGCTGAAAACTAACAGCTGTCAAATCCTTTATGGGCACACAGGTCAGTCTTCATGTCTTGTAGAAATATGGGTCTATATTTTTCTGTTAAAATTTGGAATAATAAGTGCAATGCTTTGAATTATTATATTTTCGACTCATCTTCATCATAGAATTACCCATGAAAAAATAACAATCTTTGAATAATTTATAATATATTATAAACATTGTTGGCCTCGCACTGTATTTTATGTTTTTTAGATATAGTCCTCTCACTGGATGTTTCCAGAAAAGGATCACTCTTTGCAAGTTGTGCTAAGGTCAGTGTTAACTCAATATAATGGACAATGACAGTTTGGCATCTCAGAATAGTTACTCTCATCTATCAAGATTCACAGTGAAGTTTCTGTTTGCTTTCAGGACCGGTCAGTGCGTGTGTGGCAGATGGACAGTGATGGTCAGGTGCACTGTGTGGCTTATGGCTTGAGTCACACTAATGCTGTAGGCTCCATTGCATTCTCTAAGTAAGAACATAAACTGTAATAAACAGAAAATTTGAAATTTAAAGATGTAAAAACAAAGCAACTCAATTTTGTCTATGCAGATTGAAAGCATCCTTCATAGTTTCTGGCAGTCAGGATTGTACTGTGAAGGTGTGGGATCTACCTCAGAACATTTCTGATACTGGAACAGAGATTCACCAGCTCACAGCCCGAACCACAGAGAAGGCTCACGATAAGGTAATTCCAAGGAGTGTAAATAATTTTTTACTTTTAAAATATAGTTGTTGTGTTTTTTGCAATATCCGTTAATTTAACATTTTTATGAATCAACACTTATTTACACTTAAGCGTTTTTTTTTTCCTCAGGATGTAAACAGTGTGGCAGTATCGCCTAATGACAAGCTGCTTGCGACTGGATCACAGGATCGCACTGCTAAGTTGTGGTCTTTGGTGGGTGAGGGAGGCCTAGGTCTGTTGGGGGTGTTTCGGGGTCATCGGCGCGGCGTGTGGGCAGTTTGTTTCTCTCCGGTAGATCAGGTCTTGGCTACATCTTCCGCTGATGGGACCACCAAGCTCTGGGGTCTACAGGACTTCAGCTGTCTAAAGGTGCAATGAGGTTCCATTCATATTCAAATATATTATGCATGCTGAACTTAAATTGATTTTTGTTTTCAAGACTTTTGAAGGACACGATGCATCTGTGTTGAAAGTCATCTTTGTGAGTCGAGGAACACAACTGCTCACAAGGTAAATAAAGTTAAAAAATCATGTAGTTTTTGTTATTCATGTTTTTACCACCAGTGTTGTCATAATACTGTGTACCATGATCTTTAATTTGAATTAAATTTTCAGTCATTTGAGTTGAATATCCCTAAAGTCGTTTTTAACCTTTTCCAAAATGTATTATATTTTATTTTGCACATATATTCTATTTCCAATGGCTGTTGATGGAACTGTACTGATGCCCACTTAAATTGAAGGTTAGGTACTTTATTCTTCATCTGGGTATAGATTTTTTTGTATGTTGTATGTGTTTTTCTCAGTGGCTCTGATGGGCTGGTAAAGCTGTGGACCATAAAAACCAATGAGTGTGTGAAGACACTAGATGCCCATCAAGACAAAGTGTGGGGTCTTCACAACAGTCGTAAGGATGATAAGATGGTGACAGGATCAACAGACTCCAACATCAGTGTGTGGCTGGTAAAGTCCCTGTCAAACACCCATTGTTTCTTATTGTCATTGTTGTGTCAATTGTAATACACAATATCTTTTGTTCTGGATTAATATTTAGGATGTTACTGAAGTGGAGCTTGCAGAGGAACAGGCCAAACAAGAAGACCAGATACTCAAGTAAATTTTAAATTATTATTATTATTTTTTATGATGAATATACTGCTACAGAAAAAAGCTAAACCCACGACCCTCAATACACCTTATTATTCAAATAATTTTATTGACTTTATGATGGAGGAACATTACACAAAAACACCAAATAGTTTGGACTGCGGACACTGTCAAATGACCAAAAGGGGGAGGCAAAGGATCCTCAATTTTTGAGAACGATGACGTCAGCCAACATACACCTGAGTTTATGGCTTGTGTTGAAATTGTTTTGACCACCTTTTTATTGATGACAAATATTAGCTTGACCCAGGACAAAGAGGTTCATTGTTTCCTTTAGGTTGCGTTTTAGACATTTTTATGTTTTGTGAAATTTGTACACAAATTTGTTTTATTTTCTTAAATATTTACTCTGAGCAGCATTTATGTTTTTACAAGCTAATACGCTAACTTATCCTTATGACGTATTTAATATTTAGACACATTTTGAGGGGTTCAAATTAAGTACCTCTTCACCCCTGTCCTAATAAGGTCATATTAATAATAAGAAGAATGGCATACCTTGACCTGTTTAAATAAAGGTAAATAAAGTAAAAGTATTTTCATTGTGTGTACAGACAGCAGGAGTTGTCTAACCTCCTTCATGAAAAGAAGTATCTGAAAGCTCTTGGTCTTGCAATCTCATTAGACCAACCTCACACAGTGCTCATGGTTATCAGAGGTAAGACTTTCACTATGTCGTGCTATGTTTTTATGCCTATCCATCAGGCACACACTGCACTATGTACCATTCTTTGTGGTTATCTTATCTGACCTGCTCCTCTTTCTGTCAGTGTCTTTGTGTTCTGATCTTGCTGAAAGTGTTGAGAAATCATCAAAATCAATTCTTCCATTGTTAGTCTTGTTCCCTTCAGTGACAACCAGGAAACATGTAGTTTGAAACTATGCATTGCACTGTTTCCTTATTAGATAACGTTAACAAATGTCCCCTTGTTGAATAAAAAGTTTAACTATCTTATTAGGAATCAAAGTAATGCATAGTTAGTTTTAAACCACAATCCTTATGTAATAGTTGCTGCTTTTTCAGTGCATTTCTGTGCTTCTTAATAACTAAATTTACCTAAACTGATTGCTGATTCTGTTGAAAATCCTTAATCATTAATATTAAAAGCCAGGTATGTTCTCATTTTAGCCATCTGGCAAGCAGAAAAAAGTAAGGAGTTGTTAGAGAAGACAGTGCTGAAACTTCGTCAGGATCAAAAAGGTATAAGCACACTAATTCTGCCTTCAAGATTTTAGCCACAAAAAACTAAATTGTTGTGTCTGTGTGTCAGAGTCACTGCTGCGATTCTGTGTGGTTTGGAACACCAATGCCAGGAACTGCCTCCAGGCCCAGGCCGTGCTGCAGGTCTTGCTCACTCACCTGTCCCCAGAGGAGCTGCTACAATACCAGGGAACCAGAGCACACCTGGAGGGCCTCATACCTTACACTGGTCAGAAGACAAGCTTGGGGAAATTAATCCAATACATACACATTTTATTAATATAATTTTTTTCATTCTCACAGAACGACACATGCAGAGGATTGGAAAGTTGATGCAGTCGTCCATGTTTTTGAACTACATGTGGCAGAAAATGAGAGTAGTTGGAGCACCTACTGGGTATAAATTAATCTTTCTTCAAAATGCACAGGCTGAATTCTTATTTAGACTAGTCATGCATTCTAGACAATACCTTTTTGAATTTACTATACTATAACTAATTAATGAAACCAAGGCCTCGGTCTCCACACAAGGACAGTGTTTGTTTAATGGGAAACCATGAAAAGGTACTATTTACTTTACTACCATGCTGCTCCTGCACCAAGTCACCAAACTTACTACTACATTTATTTATTATTTATTATAAGTTATTTGATATGTTAATGGAGGCTAAACACAAACATCAAAACTTAAACCCAAATCTAAATTTTAACATTTATGTGCTTTAGATTGGACCGAGATGAAGAGATGGACACCTCTCCTCTTGAATCAGCCCAACATTTCTCTGCAACTGACAAGGAAAAGCCATCAGACAGGGGTGATGAAGACAACAGAGGTGGCAGTGACAGTGAGGAAGGAGACAGTGCTTCAGATGTGGAGGAGGATGAGGGGGCTGAGGAGGTCAGTGTGTCAAACAAAGCCTCTGCCATCAAGACAAGACAAAATAGAGCCCAGACAAATGGAAATCATTGTGAAAGTGAGGAGAGTTCAGAAGATGAAGAACAAGAGGAAAGTGATCACACAACATTTAAAGAGATGGACATTCTTTCAAACCCACAATGTCAGACATTGGCCAGCTGACCACACAAACTGAACACAAATACATTCATCTTAAAGGACTTGACTTGCTGTGAAAAAGTCAGCAAGTTTGTGAAAAGAACCGCTTGTATGTGGAAATGCTATAGCCCTTTGTGGCTGTTCTTGTTGGCATCATCACCTGCAAGAAAGCTGTTAACATCTTTTCATACTGTTTTAAAAGACTAACTGTCCTTGGAGCCAAAATGAAACAAAAGGAATTTTTAATGACAGGCAAGAAGCAAAGCAAATACCTACTGTCTATTGTCTGACCTTGATTTACTGGCACAGCAACACAATTTGTTTAACATAAAACTTTGTTAACACCACAAATGTTTATAAAATAAATGCATAACCTTTTATTTAAGATGTTTATTTTCTTGATTTGTTTATCAGACAGATGATAAACACTTTCTATTATAATTAGAAACTTGTTATTGATTATATAATAATGAATTAGTATGTTGTTTACAAATAAAACATTTTCCAAAATGATACCAGCTTGTAGACTTTTCAATAGTATCTAATCATGCTTTACTAACTACTGGCTATTCCACTGTGTGTGTTGCTCCCCTTGGCTGCATTCTTCCTGGTGATGGTTGTACAGCGGGTCAGAATCTGCTGTGGCCGTGGCCTGGGCGGTACTTTTGGCGAGGTGGGACCCTTGTAAAGGTTGGGGTCTGAAACACTTGACATCATCCTGGCACCAGTGGATGGACTCAGGTGATTGCTGTTGGGAGGTGGAGGAGTGTGGCGGAAGCTTGGCCCATCCTCTGTGGAACTTAAGTTTAGAGAAGAGCTTCCGGACGAGCAGCTAAGGTCATCACTAAAACTAAAATCACTTTCACTGTCAAAGCTACCCTGGCTGTAAATGTTGATACTTCTCCCCCCCTCATCATCGTCGTCCATTTCTATGGTAATTGTTGGTGGAGGATGGCGATGCACAGAGCCATTTGTAACATTGGAAGCTGGAACCACAGCCAGTGGTGCTGGCGAACTTGCTGGTAGGATGTTAAGAGAACGTGACTTCTTTTTGCTTTCTGGTTGCAGTAAATGTGGTGAAGATGGTCTGGATGATGGCATTTCCAGCAGGTTTCCTTGGGAATGGCTAAATTGAGGATGCTGCCCCAAAGAGGGAACTTCCAGATTAAGTGAATTTTGTCGCGCTGGAAGACTAGGTGTCAATTGTATATGTGGGTAGTTGTAGGGTTGTAGGTAAATTGAGGGGATGTAACCTGCCTTCTCTTTGTATCTGACAAAGAAAACACAACCATTGACATGATTTTTTAAGTATTACAATGTTATTTAATTATTCTGATTACCTTACAAACCACCATCCATTTTCTGGTTTCTGCAAGACTTCTACAACAGCACCGATGATTACTGTGATCTCATCGTCTTTGGTAGCTTTATAACTCTTGATTGCTGTGTAGAGCAATCCTGAAATTAAAAATAAAATATAATAAAAATTAGCTTTAAATTAAATTGGACATCTGGTGGTCTTGATCTAATGCATAACAGAAGGACTTTTACCTTTTTGTGTAGACCCATCTATTTCATCTTCACTGTCAGCCTCAAGTTTCTCCAGATAAGGAGCAGGAAACCAAGCCATTTGCTTTTCATCATTTTCTATGAGCCACCACCCTATACCAATGTAAATTCACAAACATAAAGCGCGTACTGCAGAAAAAGCACAAGAGTATTTCTCACCTGCTTTGTCTTTAATAAGTACATCTATGTTCTCGTCTGCTGCAACTTTAAATGGTTTGTTTTTGGTGTCCTTGGTTTCGTATGCAGCCACGCAGCGGTAGGTCTCAGTCACAAATGGTTTTGTCACATTTCCACCACCTAAATCTGCTTTTAGGTTATCATTTAAAGGCATGACCATGACACTACAATGTCACAGAAAAATTATTATCATTATTATTATTAAAACTATTATTATTATTATTATTTTTTTTTTTTTTGCTACACGTCCATCCTTTGTTAAATACATGTTGTTTTTGTTGTAGGAAATGACCTGCCTGTTAGAAGAAAACTCTGGCTGGAGATCCTGCTTGTTTGGATGAAAAAATTGAACCAGGTCTGTGCACTGACAGACTCTGGGGTCGCAGCGCAGCAGTTCATTGCAGTATTTCTGTAGAAACTTGAGTCTCACAAGAGACTTGGTTGGAGTCTTCTGGCCTCTGCACTCCACTCTTTTGTCTGAAATGAATTTATAATTGTACCTGTACTGTGCTATACATAACTTCAAAGATATCAACAAGGTGGCCAGTAAGGATACTTACAACGAAATTTGGGAATAATCCTTTCAGATTTTTTCAGTTTAGTGGCAGGAAACACCTTCTTCATTTGTTTCTGGTAATATAAAGTCATGTAAGTCTAAATAATTTGGATTTCTGGACAAAGTGGGAGGCTTACTCACATGTAATTTCTCAAAGTCTTTAAACGTTCTATACACCACAATTTCATTTTGATCCGACCAAAGCACAGACACCAAGTACATCTGAAATACAAATAATCACTTGTAAATCACTAGTGAATGTAAACGTTTTATGCCAATAAAACTAGTTAGCCCTACTACCTTTTTCTTTTCCTTGTGCATCACGCCGGTCAAACGCAGGCTGATTGGGTAAGTCTGGGGATCCATTACACCCAAAAAGCTGAGAAAGTCCTGGGCTACGTGTGTCCTTCAAATGCGTTTGCAGGTGAATTTATAAACCGCCCTCAGAAGGTGCGGCATTCAGCGTCAGACGTGGGAAAAACTATTTTAAAACAGCAGGAATTTGAGCTATTTGAAATAACAATGCGTTTCCGTAATGCAACTTTTCTTTCCATGAAATCCATACATGTTATAGTCTATTTGTAACGTAACACTCCGCATTCATAACGACGCTGAGTCATTTTTGTATGGTCACCAAAAACTCAGATACCATCCATCTTACAACTTGCAAGGTTCATTTGTGTACTTGTGTCATCTAGTTGTCACATTGCAATTGAGCGTACTGAAAGAAAACCGCATACAAAACTCTGTCAGTGATTTTTTTTTTTTAACAGAAAATCACAGATTTGTCATAATCAAGAATGCCCCTGAGTAATTCACATTGCATATAAAAAAATTCCTTAATTCGTCAATGATGGCACTATTAAAGGCATTTTAAAACGTAGACAAAAGGTTTACTTCTTACAAAGTGAATACTGACTGAAATTGCATTTACATTTTTATTTCTCCTTAACATATACATACTATATCTTTGGTCTGCCTTTGATTCCATTCTTATTTCATTCTTCTTATACCTAGATTTGTTTTAAATTCCAAAACTTCATAACTTAAAATATACCAATTTTGTTTGCAAAGACAAATCGAAAATTATTTCTGACATTTTTATGGACATTACACCCTTATAGAACTCTGATGTACTAACACAACATGTTTTATAGTTGCATAAAACAAAGGAAAAATAAACAGCATTATGCAAAACAGATCACAGCTTTCGGTTCTGCAGCTTTCATGACATGCTTTAAGGCACCTTGAAAAGAAACTAAATGAAACTGGATGCCTCATTTGAATGACAATATTTTTGTGTTTAAACGGAAACTGACAAAAATAAAAAATAATAAGTTAAATAAAAATACTAAAATTCGAACCCAATTTGTAAGCATAAAAATCAAGCCATTCGTCTTCTTGTGTCCTTTCACATTCTATTGTCTCATGTCTTCAGACTGGAGGAAAACAAGTTGACTCTTAGCTTAATAAATCTTTTGCCTGGTTTATATTTAAAATGTCCCCGTCTCAAATCGCCTCATGATCATGTCACCGGAATTCAAAGATAGGCATACTATGTTCTTGAATGATGTTCAAATTTAAAGACTGGTACCTGAAAGTATAAAAAAAAGTAATGCAAGCAACATATGAAAATCACAACTATTATTATTATTTTTTTCCTTTTAAAAATTTACCATTCAGAACTCCTATGGTAATAATACCCCTCGATAGTGGCTGTAGATTTCTGAAAGCAAATGTAGTAGAAACCTGCAAAAGATGCACCACTGATGTCTTTGATGGTGTGGTCTGGAACTAGAAACTGCTCCTTCAGGGGGTCAAAAGGGGAGAGGCCAAAGTTCAGAAAACAAAGGACCAGAAAAATGGAGTAATAAATGGAGTAACACACAGCTATCTTACCTTCCACCGCATAAAAATATAATCACTCTTTTCCAGCACATCATAGTCAAAGCAATCACTATTAAAGCTTTTGGCATACTTGCAAAAAGGCTGAAACTTGCCCTGAGTGGGAAAAGTAAATAAAGATTGATATCTAAAACAAAATTAACAATGCCACTGATAATACAGTACAAACCCAGTGTTTTCTGTCGACATCTTCATCTGCATCCCACTTTCTGGTTAAAAATGGCCTTTTCCGACTGATTATTTCCCCAGCAAAAAATGTTGTGAGAGTGGGATACTCCTTGAGAAGCAGAACAGGGTTAAATGCATACAGAAATGCATACACCCATACAGTATAAAGTGTAAAAGCTAGAAAAAAATGTTGTGCATATTTCTGGCTGCCATGTTTGGCTGATCCCCTGTTGCATAATGACACGAGTATACAGTTGACACACATATGCTTACCTCTGTCAGCCCTTTGATCTTCAAATATCCACACACATAAGAGTCCTCCTTGGACACATGCTGCACATATTTTATACAAGAAAGAATAGAAGCCTTCTCTTTTTAGTTGATCTTGTAAATGTAACAAAATTCTTAGTCTTGGATTGATAATCAGTGAGTTTAAAATCACTTTGTCTGACTTTGTTAAAATACAGCAAGTTTTTCTTTAGTTTACCTAACCGCCCACCCGGTTATCTCTAAACTGGGTCAGCGAGAATGTAGGCTGCTATGTACGTCAGGCTAACGTAGCCACCAGGGCTGGGGCACTCCACTGCAGCTTTATTAATGGATTAATCAAAATGTCATTACCCTCAACATACGTCAACATATGGGTGATTAACAAACCTGCAAATCGACCTCAACGTCATAGGCGTTTCCTTTACTCTTTTGGTGACCCCGAAACCGTGAGCCGCTGTACAGCAGAGTGGTGCTGATCCCGAGCTGGTGCGTGTTGATCGGCGCAGGCGGGTGAAGAGATGCCGAGGGTGGACAGGCCGTGCCGGGGAAGCCGAGACTTTCCACTGGGACAGGCATGATTTGCACAAAACTGTCTTCGTTAGCCACCGTCATGAACTTTGACACTAAAGCCAGCTGCATGCACAAAAAACTTTGACCGATATTTTAGCTCACTGCCTCACACGATTTCATTGGCTGGAAATTGGAGCTCGACCAGAGCTAGAAACTTATTGGACGATGTTTCGAAAAGCATTATGGGACATGTATTTAAACTGTGATTGTATGGTTGTATGCTGATAACTGATGTGTAGCTGAAATGTTTTGATGTCAGTGTTTTATTTTATCTTTTTTTTTTTTTGAAGTTTATATATAGAACAAAAAAACAAAACAAAAAAAAGAAGAATGTTGCTTTCTCAAGGTCTGCTTTATTCGTTTGGCCATGTGTTATAGAAATTAAATAATATATTCATCTATTGAATAATTTGTGCAACTCTTCCTCATAATTGTCCAAAGAGGTGATAATAAGGGAAAGGGCCATTCTATTTCGCTGGAGTTCTTTTTCCTGGAGCTGAAAATAATGTATTCAGAAAATGTATTTCATAATACTTGTGATCCATAATGATTAAATTAATCTGTTATGTCAGAGTCATACTTTTTTGATGAATCTGCTCTTCCAGGAATTGGCATGAGTGATCAGCTGATTTTCTCTGTCTCCTATGGTGAGGAGGTGGTTTTCATGAGCTGTAGTCAGTGCGCTCATCACTGTTTCTTTGTCTAAAAACACCTTGAAAAAATACAAATTGTGTTAATACCCTCATTTTAATAGAAATATAATTGAAAATTGTTCCAAAAATGTACCATCTTTGCATCATCAGCCAAATCTTCCACACCATGGTTCCTTGACACATTCTCAATAGTAACAGTGACAATCTCCTGCACTTTCTCATGGTATTTATCCTCAAGTTCTCGACATTGTGCAAATGTAGAGATAAGTTAATGGAAACAAAAAATATACAGTTACATTTGGAAAATTTGCTTTAAGAACAAAGGATATATTTCTTGAGCAGTGTCACTGAGAGTGCCAACCATGTCTGTAAGGACCATATCCAGTTCTTTAATCATCATCTAGAACAAGAACAGGTTCAATGTCAGAGTATGCAGATGTATTCTAGGGTTAACAAACACCTACCTCTATCTGACTTATTAGTTTGAACTCAAGTGTAAGTAAGTGTTTTTGGAGTTTATTTAGCTCAGCCTTGTGATCAGTCTGTAATGCTGTTGCTGATTCTTTTTTCAACTTGACACAAATGATACACAAAACATATATTACATTAGAGCAGTTAATACTGTTTAGCTACAAAATGTGAAATGGTTTACCTCTTTGAGGTACTTGTCAAATTCCCAGAATAACTCAGTTTCTTTGTGCATTATCTCTGCTGTGGTCTCACTATGACCAGTGAAGAATGAATTCACCTCTGCTTGTCTTCGCCTGTGCTCAATCAAGCCTGTTTCAAACAACTGCACACACAGCTCTGTCATCTTCTGCTTGAATGTAAGTAATAAGTCAAGGAACTAGAGTTACTATTTGCATAATTACATTCAAATCAATAATAATAATAAATATAGCCGCAAGCGGCGATGATCGGCCCTCGCTCGAGCCTACGCCGCGCCCACGCCACGCCGCACCTCGACCACGCAGAGCCCTGCACATGCCGTGCCCCACCAGGGCACCTTACCCCTTGATCTAACTCCTAAATTCACCCTAACCCCTAAACCCACCTGAACTGCTACCTGTGGCCCTAACCCTAGGCTTAAAATTAACCCTAGCCCTAACCCAAAACCGAACCCTAGCCCTAACCCCTAATCTTAACTGAACCCTACCCCTTTTTCCTCAATTTCTATATGTGTTGAGATTTTTTTTTAATCCAAGATGGCGGACTTCCGTTTTGGCAGGGGGGCGTGGTCACAATATACTTTTTTGTTCCTATTCCTTGTCTAGATGTCACAGAATGATTCTGGTGAGTCTGGGTCAAACACCCGAGGACGAGTTCGTTCAAGTACGAGAACAGGAAAATGTCCCTTTGGCACCAGGTCGCACAATCAGTTCAATATGGCGAACTTTCTGTTGGTTGCCTAGCAACCGTGTAATATACTTTTTTGTTCCTATTCCCATGGTGCATCTGTGTACCAAATTTGGTTTGTTTACGCCAAACTTTTTGTCGGGCGTCCTATTGGCGAGCACCGATGTTTGGCTTGTTGCCATGGCAACGCAAAAGGAAATGGCATGGGGGCATCATTGACTTTTTTGATCGAGACCATGTCACGAATGTGTGTCCCAAATTTTGTATGTCTACGACAAAGTAAATCTTTGCACTTCCATGCAATTTCCCTAGGGGGCGCTATTGCACCCATTTGAGATTTTCTTATATGAATCTGTTCAGGGTCGGGGTGTCCACCAACGATTAAAGTTTGAGTGAAATCGGCCAAAGTTTGTGCGAATTATCACATGGCGAGCCGCAAAAACAAACGCGAAATTTGGACAATTGCCACGACAACACCGTTTGACCTTTAAAAAAGCTTTTAACAACTTTTAATGTCGCACTTGTCTAGATGATACAGAATGATTCTGGTGAGTCTGGGTCAAACGCCCAAGGACGAGTTCGTTCAAATGCGAGGACAGGAAATTGCGTCCTCGGTGCCGAGTCGCTCGATTGGTCCAATATGGCCGACTTCCTGTTGGTTGCCTAGCAACCGCGTAATATATTTTTTTGTTTGGAACGACCAGACCTATCCACCACCCGAATTTCGTTTGTCTACGACAAAGTTGATTTTTCGGGTATAGCCATAGGCGCAATGTATTTTGATTTTGCAGGGGGCGCTGTTGAGCCATTTTTTTGAATTTTTTGATGTGGACTATTTGTAAATTCCTATTTTGGCGATCTTGAATTTTGTGCAAAATTTCATGAGTTTTCGTCAGGGGGAAGTGTGTGAACTGTGCTCGGGGGGGGAGAAAAATTATAATAAGAAGAAAAACCAGAACAATAACAATATAGTGCCACCTATGGTGGCACATATATATATCATTGGAAAGGGCTCGTGTCCAGTAATGCACCCGTGCAGTCCATTGTCAATGACGAGCTCTTCGTTTACTTACATACCCAATGCACGTTTTTAGCTTTTACGAGAGTTAACGATTACAATTATGCCGCTGACGCGGCCCACGGGCAATGCCAGTCTGTACTATTGGATGCCATGAGTGTCACTATTGAGAGGCACTGAGTGTTTGATAAGTGTTTGTTTTCGCGGGTGCACTTCGTGCACCATGTCAAGTGCGCCCTACGTTTTGGGGTGAACGATTACAATTATGCCGCTGACGCGGCCCACGGGCAATGCCACCGTGCCATGTCAGCGGGCACCAGTCACTGACATGTGAGTGTGAGTGTGTGTTTGGAAAGGGGAGAGCGCTTCGCGCTCTGTTGCGTGTGTTGCGCACACGCCTTCCCGCAGTGCTTCGCACTGCTGAACAGTAACAATAGGCCCTACGCCACCCATGGCGCTCGGGCCTAACAATAATAATAAATATAGCCGCAAGCGGCGATGATCGGCCCTCGCTCGAGCCTACGCCACGCCCACATCACGGCGCACCCCGGCCACACTGAGCCCTGCACATGCCGTGCCCCATGAATGCACCTTACCCCTTGATTTAACTCCTAAATGAACCCTAACCCCTAAACCCACCTGAACTCCTAACTGTAGCTCTAACCTTAGGCCGAACCTTACCCATAACCTAATCCTAACCTTAACCTAATCTTAACCGAACCGTACAATTTTTCTCATTTTCTGTTTGTGCTGATTTTTTTTTAATCCATGATGGTGGACTTCTGGTTTGGCAGGGGGGCGTGGGCACAATATACTTTTTTGTTCCTAGTCCCATGATGCATCTGTGGACCAAATTTGGTTTGAGTACGTCAGTGTTTTTGTTGGACGTCCCATTGGCAAGAACAGATTTTTGACCTGTTCCCATGGCAACACGATGGGCGATGGCGTGTGGGCGTCACTGACTTGCCACCTATGGTGGCACATATATATATCATTGGAAAGGGCTCGCGTCCAGTAACGCACCCGTGCGGTCCATTATCAATGACGAGCGCGTTGTCAATGCGTGCCATGTCAGCGGGCACCAGTCACTGACATGTGAGTGTGTGTTTGGAAAGGGGAGAGCGCTTTGCGCTCTGTTGCGTGCGCTGCGCACACGCCTTCCCGCAGTGCCTCGCACTGCTGAACAATAACAATAGGCCCTACGCCACCCATGGCGCTCGGGCCTAATAATAATAATAATAATAATAAGAAAGAATAATATTCTGATGCGAGAACAATGTTCCGCTTTTTTTTGGCCGACAAACTATACATTTTCGGAAACCTCTGGTGCATTGCTACGTGATGGCGAGGGTCCCTGGTCACTACGGGCGAGTCACGTTGCGCCATTCCATTTTTCGGCCACTCGGAGCATCGCTTTGCGATACTAATAGGCCCTTCGCCAGCCTCTGGCGCTCGGGCCTAATAATTATTATTATACAAATTCTTCTGAGCTTTAGGCATGTTTTCTCAAGAAAAAAAACGTAAAAGTAGCCAAAATTGTCTTCCAAGTGTCAGATCTGCCAACTATGGCCCCTCCTGCACTGCTTCTCTGTGTCTCTCTTTGTTGCGCTTGTAAACACAGCGCCCGTTTCAAAGACTACTGCATGTCCCACCCACCGTTTGAAAGCTCTGGTGATAGGCTAAAACAATGTCAATCACTTTCTGGAAGATCCAATGACTGAAGAGATTTCCCGTAAACAAACTGATGACGCGTGCGTAAAGCCAGGAAGTAGGTGGGTGCGTAAGCTTCTTCAGCGGCTTGTCCCAGCTAAACCACGGCACCGACAACAGCGGGGAGGGTCTCATTTTGAAGCTAAGAGTGTGAGGAAAACAAGCGTACCCAAGAGCGGGAGAGAAAGGGAACTCAGAGAGGCAGAAGGCTCGGAAAGGCAACATATATTTTCATTCATGCATTCATCCACTCATACGGACGACGATTTTCTGGATTATTTCCCCACATGGAATTATTTTATGGAAAAAAACAACTTAATATTCTTTTTCTGTGAATTATTATGGACTTATTGAGTACAACTTTTCATGGATTGAACGCGTTTTGGACCGACAGAACCGGCTCAAAGGTAAGAAACGCGTATCTCATTCTTTGATATGATGTGAATTTTTAAGTTATAGCGTTTTGGGCTCGTATGGCATAAAATGAATGATATGGTTGTTTTATTAAGAAATTAAGCTTTCAAACGATGTATGGCATGCCAGTAGTGAAAACAATAATGAAGGTGAATATACAGAGTGAACATTTTTTATTGGAAAATCGCCCGCCGGCGGGCGGGTGGATGGTATGGGCAAGGTTTAAACCAGGTCTGAAAACCTGATCTAAACCTGATCTCACCCAGGTCTGAGCTGGGGTTTCATCTAGTTTGTCCCGTACTCCTCCTTCGTCTCCTCTTCCTCTCCTCTCACGCTCTCGTTCTCTTCTTCTTCTTCATCGTGGAGTTCGTATTTGTCCTTTAGTCGTGTGAGAAGTTGGTTTCTTCTCTGCTCCTCTGCTAACGTCTTCGTGGAGCTCTCCCGCTCGGCGTGGGCTTTCTGCAGCTCTTCACGCATCTGCTGGATTTGCTCTTGCAGACGTGCTCTCTCCTGTTTGATCTTTTCATGTTCATCACAGAGAATCTCCATCTCCTCCAACAGTTCTGTGTTCCTCTGTCGTTGTCTCTCTGTCTCTCTAAGCTCCTCCGATAACCTGTTCTCCACACTTTTCAGATCTTCGGACATGCGCTTCTTATAAGATTTCAAAAAAAATTCCCGAGGGCCTGAAGAACCGACTCTTGTCGTCAACGTTTCGAGCTCCTCCTTCAAATTCACCTTCTCTTGGTTGAGCTCGGTGACAGCTTTGAGGAGCTCTGAATGGGAGTCTTTCAGCTGAGCATGTTGTTGACGTTCCTCCTTCAGATCTCGTAGGTGTGGACAGACTTCACCTTCTGCTGAAACGGGCGAGTTTTAACGTTCTGGAATTTTAAGGGCGGGTCAGGACTAATTCAGGTCTAAACCAGGTCTAAACCATGACTAAACCCAGACTAAATCAGGTCTAAACCAGGTCTAATCTTGGAGAGAGAGATAGCGAACCCTGAGCCCCGCGGAGCAGGTGTCCGAAAAACGCGACGGCTGCATGTACCTCTTCTCCAAGCTCTGCACCGGTCCTTTCGCCCGCGGACACTCGGGCTACACGG